TGTTTGTTTGTTTGTTTGTTTGTTTGTTTGTTTGTTTGTTTGTTTTTGTTTGTTTGTTTGTTTGTTTGTTTGTTTGTTTGTTTGTTTGTTTGTTTGTTTGTTTGTTTGTTTGTTTGTTTGTTTGTTTGTTTGTTTGTAGCTGTGCGTTTTACCCAGTCTTGCAAATTTTGTGTCGTATGTCCGCTGACTGCCATCAACTATTTTAAGACAATATAGTAAGACTGGACCGATAAAAGAACCTTCATTACATGGATCTCTAGGGAGAACAGTTTAGAACTGATAGTACTATCCAGTATAAATAAAGTTAGTTTAGTTTAGGTTTTCTCCTGTGGTAACACTGGATCAATAAGAGACGACTTTGACTGGACCTCAAGGAAGAACAGTTTAGAACTGATAGAGCTATCCAGTATAAATAAAGTTAGTTTAGTTTAGGTTTTCTCCTGTAGTAACACTGGATCAATAAGAGACGACTTTGACTGGACCTCAAGGAAGAACAGTTTAGAACTGATAGAGCTATCCAGTATAAATAAAGTTAGTTTAGTTTAGGTTTTCTCCTGTAGTAACACTGGATCAATAAGAGACGACTTTGACTGGACCTCAAGGAAGAACAGTTTAGAACTGATAGAGCTATCCAGTATAAATAAAGTTAGTTTAGTTTAGGTTTTCTCCTGTAGTAACACTGGATCAATAAGAGACGACTTTGACTGGACCTCAAGGAAGAACAGTTTAGAACTGATAGAGCTATCCAGTATAAATAAAGTTAGTTTAGTTTAGGTTTTCTCCTGTAGTAACACTGGATCAATAAGAGACGACTTTGACTGGACCTCAAGGAAGAACAGTTTAGAACTGATAGAGCTATCCAGTATAAATAAAGTTAGTTTAGTTTAGGTTTTCTCCTGTAGTAACACTGGATCAATAAGAGACGACTTTGACTGGACCTCAAGGAAGAACAGTTTAGAACTGATAGAGCTATCCAGTATAAATAAAGTTAGTTTAGTTTAGGTTTTCTCCTGTAGTAACACTGGATCAATAAGAGACGACTTTGACTGGACCTCAAGGAAGAACAGTTTAGAACTGATAGAGCTATCCAGTATAAATAAAGTTAGTTTAGTTTAGGTTTTCTCCTGTAGTAACACTGGATCAATAAGAGACGACTTTGACTGGATCGCTAGGGAGAACCTTTTATAACTGATAGAGCTATCCAGTATAAATAAAGTTAGTTCAGATTCGTTCTAATCCAGATTTATCTTATTTCTCTCGTCAGACGATTGTGGGAACTGTACAGGCGGAACGACTAATGTTTCATTTAACGCAATGAAAGATTGTGCAAAGGAATGTGGTCTCTCATTTGTGGACGAATGTGGTGTTTGTCAACGTAAAGGTAGATTTGTGAACTTCACTGACTGTACAGGCAAATGTTATGGTGATGCAAGAATCAATAAATGTGGCTTCTGTGCTGGTGGTACATCTGGTAAACCAAGGACGCATGGCGAGGACGCTTGCGGGCTATGCAATGGGGATAACTCGACATGCCTGGATTGTGATCGGGTACCAAATGGTGGGAAAGTCAGGGATTTCTGTAATAAATGTTTACTACCCACTGACTCGCGTTTCAACTCTGAGTGTGTGAAGTTAAAGAGACCTGTTCCTGACAGTGGACCTTCCGAGGGCGGTATGAAGGTGATCGTGCGAGGTGCTGGACTAAAAACGTATTCCAGAGTTACCTGTAATATCATTAACAATGCCACCAATGTCAGGTAAGGTGTCTCACAGATTTGTGTTCAAGGGCCCAGCTCAAGCCATGTACCGAACTCTTTGTTTAAGCTCATTTGCATACGGATCGGTACAAGTGTTGAAATGAGCGGGAGCCAGGTCGCCAATTGCGACCATAATTCTAAAGTCTTAAAATATGTCGGTGATGAAGCATTTCATTCTGCTTTTGCATATAATTTGCCACCAAAAACTAATCCTACCTTATAACCGCGCTCTGAGATAGTGCCAAAAATATTAACAAGCTGTCGTTGGTAGGAATGCAACTACCTGAAAAATATAAGCAGAATTTCGACGTTTCGAGCGAAGGCCCTTCATTTGGAGTTATTTATCCTAGGCCAGATGATCTTGATACGCGGAAAAGTACTGGCACTAGTTGTCAAATAGAAATCCATTTTGTGATTAAAACAACTGAATATCTCCTGTAATATACTTTATTTCGATTCCATATTTTTGTCAGAGCTATAGTTCTCATAAGCAAACATAATTACAAAATTTCAACTAGTTTCATAAAGAATAACGAAAGATATAATTGACTGAATACATAAAAATGGATTTCTATTCGGACAACCCTTTCTGAGCGCTGATTGGCTAAAATACGAACACGAGATCACCTGGGGATTAAGTACGTCTTCAGTTCTAAGTTCTCTCAAGTACGCTGCAATAGTCACTACCAGTCAGGCACACAAAGCATCCTTCGCAATGCAAGAAAAGATTATTGACAGTCACTACATGTACCGTGAATGCGTAACGACGTTTTAAATCTTATTTCTAGGAGAGAAATTCCAAGCTCATCATTTGACGAGAATGGCGGACGTGTTATCCAGTTCATGAGCCCATCGTTGGCTTCTGGTTACTACACCATATTATGTCGTTTCGACTCCGAAGTCGTTTTCCATCCAGTGGAAGAAACCTTCTTAGTGTACAACAAATCTGCTATAACCTACACCTCAATAAGCCCCGACTCCACAGACATCAATATGGCTGAGACAGCAGTGATTATGGGCAGCGGTTTCGTGAATACGTCAGACATTGCATGTGTCTCACAAGACGGTCGCGTGTTTGAAGCAGAATTCAAGAGCTCCATGCGTGTATCGTGTTCAATTCCAGCAACCAAAAGTTCGGTGAAACTTTTATTAGGAGTTTCATTCAGTCGTGGTGATCGCACACTTGGAGGAAATAATGTAAATTTCACTATTTACGCTAATGCATCGAACCCAATAAGCGCCAGGTTCTTGAATAGTTTGCGTGGTGTTGTGGTATATTTCGATGTCCCCACAAAACCAAAAGTGCGTTCCGTCGCCTGCTCTAGATTCTTCCCATCAAGCAATGCGAGTTTATTCGGTTCCAAGTCTCAATGTGTGTTTGTGACTTCGGTAAAAATGATCATCAAATTGCGAGGAAGGCCTACCCTGGTCCCCAATGACAAACTGACGTTCATGCTTCGCTCCATTACACAACGAAATCAGAAAGTCACTAAAGAACCAGCGGAAATGTATAAAGATCTTGTGATTGCTCAGCCCAGAATTTCTGTTATGCCAACAGCCAAGCTTTCTGGCACAGCTCTTCTTGGTAAGTGTTGTAGTTTGAGCTGTCCAAGTTTTGAAGGATTTGTAAGAAATATTTGAGGGAGTGTTAAATCCAGTTCCCTCAAACATTTCTTACAAATCCTTCAAAACTTAAAATTTTACCTCTGCAAAATTCCTACTGTAAGAAATATTTGAGGGAGTGTTAAATTCAGTTCCCTCAAACATTTCTTACAAATCCTTCAAAACTTAAAACTTTACCTCTGCAAAATTCCTACTGTGATCACAGAAACTTTGATGGTGTCAACCAGCTTTTCTCAACCGCCAGGGAGAACGGTTAAGACGAGATTTTTTTGTATGTTACGTAACACGCGCTCAAAACTAATGCGTATAATATACCACTTGAGGTTATGACTAAATTTTTATTTTTCGATACGTTTCTCAATCGGCAAACATACTTAAAAAGTATGTTTAGTGTTTTATCTGTAAAATAATGCTAAAATGAAGAGATTTTAGATGATACGCCAAAGAGAAAATTATGTCTGAAGTTCAGTAAGTTTTGTTTATATGGCTGTAAATATGGCGTCAATTTTAAAGCATCTTTGATGATTGTATTTTCAATGACAACTTTTAACTATTATTTTATGTTTCTCAACCGGCAGGTTAGAGAATAAAGCTAAAACAAAGTAATTTTGAGAGGAACGCCAAAACGATTTTAGGTTGTGAACACCCTTCATTGTAAATACGTGACATTGAAAAAAATTTCCTCTTAATCAGTACGTTAAGGCCGTTTTCATTAGGCGGAATTTTTCGCGCGGAGCGGAATTTCTCTTTGTCTTTTCTAATTAGTTCCAACCGAGAAATCACAAGACAAAGAGAAATTCCGCTCCGCGCGCAAAATTCCGCCTAGTGAAAACGGCCTTCACCATGCTATGGCGCACAAAGGATTTATTAATCCTGTGTTTTGATTTAGGTATTTGTGCAAAACTGCGACTTAACGGTGGGCAATCATTTGGCGCTGGTGGTCGCCGTCTCACCTTTATTTGGAACGTGACTTGGGATGACCCATCAGATTCTTCCATTGACGCTAACGCCACAGCTGATCTACTTGCGATTAGACAAAATCTGGAGTCCTTGCCCGAGTTCCAGCCCAAAGTGAAAGCCACTCATGATATGATTGTAGTTGGTCTGCGCTACAAGTTCACGTTAAAGGTGAAGAATTTCCTTGGTCAGGAAAGTGATGAAGCTAGTTTGGTCGTGCTGCGAGAGGACAAATCTTTACCTGGACTTCACTTGGGTTCCAAGAAGAGAAAAATTAAAACTGCCCTCGGAACCACCTTACAAGGTAAACACTACTGTTTGTTTTAACTCATTACGTATCTTCGGTTTATAAAATGTCACTAGATTTTTTCTGTAAAAATCCTCATTTCAATCCTCATTTTCAGTCAAGCCAAAGGTCGCGACATCAGGTGAAAAATTAAACAGCTGAGTTGAACACCACAACCACCAAACATCCTCGTATTATTAAAAATTCATAAACAAAACACACAGGCCGGCGCTATCCAGCGGATGATGATTTTTTCAACCGTTGTAAACTGATGCTTGAAAAGTTATAAAACAACGGATATGGACCTAATAAAAATATACTTTAATTTATAAATACTAAAGTTTAGACCGGGTTATATCATTCGATTTCATTTTCATACCATTCATTTCCCCCCAAGAACGCCTGATTGTAGGTTAAGGCTATGTTTACATTGTATCGGATCGGCTTTGCGTCCGACGCAAAAACCATACCGGATAGGGCTTCTGTTTGCATATGAAATGTTGTTATCGTCTCAATTTCTGCAACGAACCGGTTGTGCGGCGGTTCGCTCTTCGAAGTGGTGCGCGGTGTATCGGATTGGTTTTTGCAACGCTCTCATTGTAATGTAAACACCAATCGGAGCAATTTCGGTTCAATGCGTGACTCAAGATGGAATCTGGCAAACAACAACTTACTATTCTAATAATATATAGAAGAAAATACGACGGCATAGATGGGCGGGGGCGGAAGCTGTTTACACTTGGGCCGTAACTTTTCGCGAACGAAACAAAAACTGATCCGATACAATGTAAACATAGCCTAACGTTATCCCGCCTTCGTACAACTGGGCCCAGATCAATGTTTCTATAAACTTTGACAGGTGAAATCAAGCTGTCATCATGTTTACCCGCTGGCTATAAACCTAAAGTTCTCTTCACCTGGGAGATTCAAGCAGTGGGGGTGGATCTGGGGGTTGTAGATAAACCACGATTGCCCATCGCACCAGGTCTGTTGGTGGGAGGCAAGGTGAGTGTATGTAGGGTTTATGTATGGATATGTATGGGTAGATATCGTTAAATGTTGGTACATTCGAGTACATCAGGGTAGTTTCAAATTCATTTGGAGAAATATGTATACATATGAGTGGATATTGGATTAGCCTTGTTACTCAGGAATTGGTAGGTTTAGTTGCGGGACATGCAAGTCTTGTTACTCAGGAATTGGTAGGTTTAGTTGCGGGACATGCAAGTCAACTTCAGAATGTTGAAACTTGTATCGGAACATGTTAACTGCAGGAATGTTGAAACTTGTATCGGAACATGTTAACTGCTAGTCTCCTACGCAGGGAATGTTGAAACTTGTATCGGAACATGTTAACTGCTAGTCTCCTACGCAGCCTGTTCGCGGGTCCGACGCCTCGGACCCGCGAACAGGCTGCGTAGGAGACTGAACATGTTAACTGCTAGTCTCCTACGCAGCCTGTTCGCGGGTCCGACGCCTCGGACCCGCGAACAGGCTGCGTAGGAGACTAGTTAACTGCAGGAATGTTGAAACTTGTATCGGAACATGTTAACTGCAGGAATGTTGAAACTTGTATCGGAACATGTTAACTGCAGGCATGTTGCCTCTGTATGGAAGCACTTGGTATCAGGCCTCTAACTTGTATCGGAACATGTTAACTGCAGGCATGTTGCCCTGTATGGAAGCACTTGGTATCAGGCCTCTTGTTATAAAATTTATTCGCGATACATAATACTTTAATGCGATACTATATTGACCACCATCGGCTGCATAATAGTGGTGAAAGCCAGCTGTTAAGACCAATCTATGCATGTAATATTAACCTGCGCTTTCTCCTTATTTCAGACATACACACTGACTCTTACTGCCGCTATGGCGTCAGATATTTCTCTAGCTACTACAGCCACTATCCAGCTCGAAGTTATATCAAGTCCTCTGAAAGCCATTATTAAAGGTAACTATTAACTAAACTGTTACTGTTGCTAATTCCTTTGCCTTTGCTTAAAAGCGCAATGGACGCGCAGTATAGTTTAAAGAAAGTATAGCCCGCAGCAAACCTCAAATCAAACTCTAAAAGGACTTGAAGCCTGGAACGATAACTTGGCCGCTATCTTTGAAGCCAAAATCTCATTTATATTCATTCTTTTCTTCATTTCTTCCCTCGTTCTCTTTTTTTCATTCTTTCAATTTTTTTATTCCTTCATTTACCTCTTCAGGCGGTGGCAGTCGAGTGGTCGGGGAAGATGATACCTTACTTCTGGATGGCTCGCGGTCTTCAGATCCTGACCGCACTTCTGATAGTGCTGTATATAACTGGGAATGCTTTGACGCGGAGGATAACCCGTGTTTTGAACCCGATTCTGAGAACCCTGGTAGATTGAAAAGAATGGTGATCCCGCCTGGTATTAAACTCACCATCATTGTTGCTCAGATACTCAAGACAAACAGCATGTAAGAATAAACTTAACTAACTTTATTTATACTGGATGGCTCTATCAGGATTTAGAGTCTTTTATCTTGCTACAAGCGACGCATTTAAGAAATCTATCAGTGAAACTAAAACACCTGTTTCCATAAGCTTCTCTGATTAATTTACCAATCCTTCTTTCCAGGTACAAATTCGTGCTGATTTTCAAAAAAGGAAGCAGAAGTAACAAGGTATATGTCTATGTTTTTGTGAAGTCTGGAACTCCACCGTCGGCCCTGATACGTCCAATTGCTGCGAAGGTCAACCCTACTGATATCCTTATAATTGAGTCATTAATCGTCAGCAAGAAAACTGTAAACGCAACTTGGAGTTGTGTCCAGAGCGAAGGTAGCTTTTTAACTGAAAATAAACTAACTTTATATTTAGCTGTACCAGTTCTAAACTATTCTTCTTAGAGTTCCAGTAAGGATCATCTCTTATTGATCCAGTGTTACTATTGTAATACTACAGGAGAAAACCTAAACAAAACTAACTTTATTTATCTTGGATAATTCAACCAGTTCCAACTCAAACGTGTTACTAAAGGAGGAAACCTAAACTGAACTAACTTTATTTATCGTGGATGACTCAATCAGTTCTCCCTAGAAGTTCAGCATGATTTTTGAAGAAACTCGTGTGATTTTATTTTGTTTTAGAATATGGTTTTGTTGACCTGGAAGGCGAAGGTGTTGCGCTAACACCACGTTTCCACATGTATTCAAGTTTCCACGCTTCCACTCTTGGCAAAGCTAAAGTGGTTGCATCACCTTCATTAGTCATCGCTAAAAATAAACTCGAAGATGGAGTGACGTACAAATTCAAACTCACTGCCGAGCACAGTGATTCATCGTCCTTCGCTGACATTGAAATTACAACTAACGCGGCACCATCGCAAGGTAGGCAGTACTTGATATAATATACTGCTTTATCTCAAACGTCTGGGGTTCAGTGAAGGTTGTATTTGAGGTTGCAGGTTTAATCTCCTTGCAAGGCTCCAGGAAGGGCCATCTCTTTTTGGTCTAGTTACAGGAAGATGCGTAGTATCCGGAGAAAACCTTGGGGAAATGTTTAGGGAAAGTCAGACTGAAAACACTCTTCACGACTAGGGGGAAATCGTATTCGTAAAAATGTATTTCAAGATGCCAGCCTCGTCAACATACGTTGGTTTTCATGAGGGACGTCGTCAATTTATATACAAAGTATTTACAAGAAAATACGTACAAGAGTATATGTTGAATACAGCAGGTGTGACCCATACATTAACATTAGTAACAGAATCAAAGATTAATATTTCTTTGAAAATGTGGATTGATCGTGCCTTTTTTGCTTCCCGAGAAAGGCTGTTCCAAAACTTTGCCCCGCTGTATTTAAAACTTTTTAGGAATTCCCTTCTCGGTTTTGGGAGAGCTAAATCAGTATAGCTATTTCTTAAGTTGAGACAACTGCACGTTGAAAATCTTGCAAGAATTTAAACCAGGGGCGCAGAGGTGAAAATTGCGTTCACTAACCACCGTGCCACGAACGAACTATTCTGCCGAAACAACACTTTGACATAGACGTATCGACAAACATTTCATCTATCGTTTAGGAACGTTGGAGATCGAGCCAGCCTCGGGATTCTTCGGAAACACGACATTCACGATCACTGCTGCAGAAGGCTGGGATGATGACGCGGATGACTTACCGATGATGTATCAGTTTGGTTACTATATCCAGGACTCGGGTGAACTTCGTGAAGAACTCCTCGGGACACCAATTGAGGCAAACAGTCTGGAAGTTGATCTACTACCACAAGGTATGCTTTTGAAGGCTGTATTAACCAGTTATATGTAGGGTGTGTAGGTGGTTGTCCCTGGCCACTATCGTTCAGCAGGTGGTGGTTAAAACTTAAAGTTATCCGAGTAGTATTTATCTTAATCTGGTATGTGTAGTAGTCTTCCGTTTTGTGGCCAAAATCTTCAAATAATGGAATATCAAACTGAATTGAATTTTATTGGATTGAAAATATGCCCAAAGCTGCCCAATTTTCCACCTATTTTCCTTGCTTGTTAATCTGCTAAATATCTTAAATTCATTCATTTTAGGAGAAGCAGCTAATAACTACAGTCTAACGATGTTCGTCAAAGTATCTGATATTTACGGTGCCGTGACAACACAAGAAGCGACCGTGACTGTAAAGCCTGTACCGCTGGATGTTTCCGCTGTCAATGAACTGGCTGGCGCAGTGGACAGTGATTTTGAGTCGGGAGATTTGGCGAAAGCAGCAGGTTTGTGAAAGCCATATTTTTTATACTGGATAACTCTGTCAGCTTCAAACTGTTCTCCCTAGAGGTCCAGTAAGGATCATCTCTTATTGATTCAGTGATACTACAGGAGGAAACCTAAACTAAACTAACTTTACTTTATACTGGATAACTCTGTCAGCTTTAAACTGTTCCCCCTAGAGGTCCAGTAAGCACCATAACTCTGTCAGCTTTAAACTGTTCCCCCTAGAGGTCCAGTAAGCACCATCCCTTATTGGTCTAGTGGTATCATAGTCTATCAAGGCATGATGATCTGGAAACTAAACATAAGTCATTGTTTGATGTTTTTGTCTGGGTTTATGTTAATTTGTGTAAGGTCGCTGTGATTAAGTTCATTGTATTTTGACAGACTACATATTTTGACAGACTATGATGGTACTACAGGAGAAAACCTAAACCATCTTCTATTTGTCCAGTTTCTCAATTTCTCAAAAAATTGTTGTTTATATTTTCAGCTAAGGCGAATGCAGTTGCGGCAGCGTTATCGAGCAGTAATGCAAATGACCCCAATGTAACAAAAGCAGTGAAAGAATTTAAGAAGGCTGTCACTGATAAGGTAGGTAACAATGAAATGACCATGGAACATTCCGATCACTGGGTCGTGAGTCTCGTGACTGAATGGAACTGTTATGCTAATGGCCATTTTGCATCAAAATTGAAACTAAATTTTGATACTTTTTGTGGTGAAAATTGTAAATTCTTATCTGCAATCTTATAAACTTTATAAATCACATAGTAAATTCTTATCTACCGTTCATATCTAGGTATTGAGCTCAGTCGAAGGGGGTGGTGCCCAGGACAAATCTGGGAGAGATGTGGTGAAAGGCTCGTTGTTACTGATGACGAGTGGATGTAAACCAGGCTGTGATCCTGGCAGAGTTCTTCGAAACTTGTTTGCAATGTTTGTTGGGCAACTTGTGCAGTCTTCAAGCAAGAGACGTCGTCGTGCTGTTGTGGTCGATTACGACAGCATTGAGGTCAGGACAGCAGCTGAGGTTGAAGACATTCTTAAGATTTCACAAAATGTTCTCGACCCTGACGATTACACAAACAGCAGTTTGGAGGCGAAAGCTAGCTTCTTATCGACAGTTGAAGGTCAAGAGCCTCCGCTATGTAAAGGCCTTGCAACAGGAGGACCTTATGAACTGGCCAAGACAAATATTACCGTAATGAAGGCGGTCAAAGATACATTTTCAAGTGTAGATACTGAATTTATGGAGATTTCTACTTCGACAGCACCAGAGTATATAGAAGCAAGTGTGATGTACAGACTAGGACAAACTTTGAAGACGCAATACGAGTCATGGGCATGCACTGTTGATGATGCGTGTACTGGGACATGTATTGCAACTGCTCAGGTAAGATGTCGTCATGATCATGATGGTAGTGGTGATGATGATGGTAGTGGTGATGATGATGGTGGTGGTGATGATGATGGTGGTGGTGATGATGATGGTGGTGGTGATGATGATGGTGGTGATGATGATGATGGTAGTGGTGATGATGGTGGTGGTGGTGATGATGATGGTAGTGGTGATGATGATGGTGGTGATGATGATGATGGTAGTGGTGATGATGATGGTGGTGGTATGATGATGATGGTGGTGATGATGATGATGGT